TTTTTTTGTGTTTTCAATTCAGTCCTACTTTTAACCACCTCTCTCTTTGGCAAACCCACTCAGCTCTTATGACTACACCGCAGATTTTTATGCAGAAAAACAAGCCTAAAAATATATAGCACATGGCTAAGAGGATTTCCTGTACGAGGGGTTTTTGTTCACATTCTCTGCATTTCATAGAGCCTACTCATCACTTTGTAGAGCCTTAGGTTTACCAGTTATGGCACCAGGATAACGCAGATCCAGAGTTTCAACTACCGTCTCTTTCCACGTAACATTGAATTTCTACAAACCACCCGGGACTGTCCAGGTGCCCCAGAGAGTAACTTTCTAAGCCTGCTCCCCTTCGAGGACGGTTCCACGTTGCTTCAGAAGTATCTCCAAGAGGTTCTCTTCGCGTTCCTTGGGCCTCTTTTATAGTCCCTGAAGTTATATTTGTACGCCTGCCAGTGCGGATCACTTTTGAAAGCCGTGACTAGATTGCATAATTTCGAAGACTTCTTACCTCTACGCTTCATAACTGGGCAAGCTCTGCAACATGCGCCTGTAAACCGGTCCACCAATTTTCTGGTGCACCCGGAGTAAAGTTTGGGGACATTTTCTAGCTCTAGCCTATATACAGCCAGTATTTCTAATATTTAAAATTTAACTTGGGGGTTCGTTCTGTTCAGTCTGGCCTAGATCGAATTCGTTATATCGGTGATTGGGAAAGAAGTGCTTCTGAAGTTCGCTCCAGTTCTGTATTACCTCCTTTAATGTTCTCCATAGATCCGAAGTCCTTTCGAAAATACTCGTATTGAATTAAACATTTATTTATGCAGGAAAATAAAATTTAAATTTTCAATATTTGAATCGGGTAAATATCAACGGGAATAAGTCCGTACTTTTTCAATGGGAAAACTTTGATGCAGTTCGGTTCGTTTAAAGGAGGTCTGCATCAAATTTGCAAAATCACAAAAATTATGACGTATTCCCTTTGGTAATTAACCGATTCATTAGCTATTCTTGTCTTCGAACTTTTCCTCCATTAGCGAACTCTTTCATTTATTCACGTCGGTCTGCCGCCTCCTTCTTGGCACATCAGCATTACATAAGCTACTTATTGTGAAGTAAACCCGCATCACCACCAGGTGTTGCAGCAGCGTAAAAAATAGCACACTCGATATTTTGGAAGCCACACACGGGCGATTCGACACACATACCTACACACATATGTATGTGTATGTACGTTGTAGGCGGAGGTGGTAAGAGAATTTACTTGGTACATAGTGCCAGTTGACACGCAGGCAGGCGAGCTAGTGAACACGGGAAGAGAGAAGAAACAGCTGTTGCACATGCAAAACCATTAATGGAAAGCTATAAAGGCGAGCATATATGTACGTAGTAACCATAGCAGGAAAAATACTAAAAAGCTCTACATGCGATCTCCAGCCTATGAGTAGTGGCCGTAGCAGCGTCAATGATGTGTGGCAGACAGGTTGGCAGGCACTCAGCAGCAGTAACACCTCAAGAAAATGCCGCCATTTGCCGCGTTTGGGGCGAATATATGCAGGCGTCAGATAGTAGACGACAAGCCGCTAAAACGAAGGGAAAATTGCACAAAGAAGCTTGGCAAACAAGCTGCAGGGTACAGGCAAACGGTTCGGCTTGGTGTGCCAAGTA